CTTAAGGGAGGCTCATCATTCGTCCAAGTTTGAGAAAGAAGAAAATGGCCTTGACGATGAATCTCTATCTAACTTATAGGCCCTATTTAGCAATCTTTCTTTCTTGTCAAAATTCATTGAGAATGTGTATCTTACAGCTCACGTTATCTTGAGGATAACATAACTTGCCTTTCTAAAGTTCAGTCCGGCGATAGGAAGTTTCATAGTGTGAAACTCTTCGAAAACATAACAAATTTGATAAAATCACACACGAAGCTATGCGCCGAGTAATTCAGCCCAAGAATATATAAACAAAAACTGACGAGTTAATGGAAAATCATAGTTAAATTAATAATTATAATAATATTATCGCTTGTTAAATTTTGATTGTATACCTCGAATCTGATTTTAATTTTACTAAACGGAACATATTTTTTTGCGCAGTGATCTTTTCGAGCTTTATCAAATTAAAAGGAACCGAACAAATAAAACAAAAATTAAATTAAAGATTAGCATTCACAATTCAAAAATAAATAAATATTGATCCTTGTTGATTTAAATTTCATATCATGTCGGGACCTTTCAAAAGTTTTTGGTAGCACCGTATTATATAATTTGCATTGCTTCGCGTAATTATTAATTTGTGGCGCCGCGCATTATCATGCTGCCTTCTGAGTTCACAAAGCCATGTATCTACGCGTACTGCGTGACGCGCTTGTTTCACAACAATTAGCGCCTTCGGCGGTCACGCGCTACTGCAAGCGAGAGGGCTAGCTGGTTAGAGCAACCTTCTGAGTACTAATATAGTATAATATATATTGAATATATATATTGAATATAATAGAATATTTTTAATAACGTGATCGTGTTTATGAACTTAACGGGTGATACTCGTAAAATATTTGTTCCATTGCATATATTTATATTAGGACCGTCGACGAGTCCAACTCGGCGCGCGTCCTGGTAGGTTATAAACCTACAATTATGAACACAAAAATTCTTGACCATTGTTAATGATCTGGCCCGGCGCGCGCTACTTCTTAGCACTTGCCATCGAGAACTTGCTTTCGAGAAGAAAGCTGCGCGCGCTACTTCGAAGAAATTTAGACGAGTAACATCCGTCAAAAAAATTCAGGTCCCAAGGCAAATTGTACATTAAATGTTAAAACTTAACGACATGAAAATTGAAACCTGAGTAAATTTTATTTTCGAGTATCAAAAATTTATAAACATTCCAATTATATTGAAGATTTAGATTTAAATATTGAGCCCTTTGGCTAGAGAATATTTTCTTAGATAGGACAGTTTTTAATATATGATAATGTTAATGAATTGTAATTGATTGATATGTAATATTTAGGCCCGTGGCCAGCTTTTTCTAGTAGTATTGTATAATAAACATAAAATATTATATGCTTTCGTAGCTTCATTACTGAGTAAATGACGATGTACCTTCAGTTGCAGCATCGCAAGCCATTTCATACCTCTTCTTTATTATATATATAATAGGCGTATATGACATTATATGCTATTCCACAGAGCCAGGTAATACAGGGTGGGCCAAAAGTCACTGGACATGCGTTGGCCTTAATTAGCTCCGCCGTGTTTTGTATTTGAGAGCTGTTGCTTTGCAGATAGCATACTGTACCTTCTGGTAACTGGTTCAAGGATTCCGTTGTCAAAATTTGAAAATTCGAATATTTTAGACCACGCCCATTCAAAATTAAAACACCTATATTGTTTTCTCTGAACATGCTGGACGCCTAATTTTTTCAGAGACGGTAGATTATTAAATGTTGCATCTGATCTGAAAAAAATGACGTGAAACGGATTAGAAATGACGAAGTTATCAAGCATTTTGTGTATCACGTTAACAAAATTGACTGGGTGATTATGTGACACATCTCTAATTTTTTCAGGACAAACGTAATTCGAATGGCCAAACACAATTCAATAAAATTTAGCTCGATCCAACTATCCAAACTATAAAATAAATGCAAAAAAGAACCTTCATTTGAAAAAAATGAAATCGAATATTTTTCGATTTGACAAATTCCTCGAACCAGTGGTGATAGTAAGTCGTATTGGCCACTCAGTGACTGAGCTATTAAGGAATACAATTTTTTTTCTGGGAGGGGTGGTTGGACAGTGGCGTAACGCTGCCTGTTGGCACCCTCACTGAAAAAGCGCCCCCTTGTTGGCGCCCCCTCCCCTTTTGTTGTCCCTTCCCTAAAATTGGACAAATCAGATGATTTTAGAGGATAGGCCTATAAAATCTCTAAAAAAGTGTGTTTCTAGAGCAAAACACACAGTTTTGCTAATACTGCAGTTAAGTTTTTCAAAATTGTCCCATATTCAAACGACAATTTGGCGCCCCCTTAAGATGGCGCCCTCCCGCACAGCAGGGTTAGCCGCACGCCAATGTGGTTGCGGCTAAAAAAATTTTGTTTTACTTTAATTCAATATTACCACACCAGAGGAGTGGGAACATTTGGGATGTCTTACAGTGCAGTTTCTTGCATTTAAAAAAATTGTGTCTCTGTTCACAGTAGGCAACCTGCAGCTTTAAATCAATTTTTAGTTCTATCAACCGTTGGTTATATTATTGCAGTGAATTCGATATCAAGGGATTGTGAATGCTAACAAAAATAAGCAAATTTTCATGGGTGCCTGCACTCTCTTTGTCAAATTCGTGTGGACCCCTGATAAAAGATCTAGAATCTGTTATGGGCAACACTTAATCATAACACTTTTCACTTGATGGATATTAAATCCCTAAGATACCTTGGCTTGGAGAGTACTGTAAAATCTAGTATTGAGAATTGATAATTCAATCCTGCAGTTTCATCAAAGTTTTGAGTGTAACCTATATTTTTAGTTTGCAGCACCATGGCTCTAGTGTTTGGAATCGGAGTGGGATTGTTCATACTCATTGTGCTCTGGACTGTTGTCATCTTCACAGGTTTTCTTACAATGCAGTGGAGTAATGGAGGACCCATCACAGCAGCTACTGTTCTTCTGGCTTCAGTTGTCACACTTATTCTTGTTTTAATCCCTAGAGGTAATTTCATTGAAAAAACTGCCTTAGCCTAGATTAAACCTGATAATGTACAATGTACATTCTTATGTTGTATGACATTAAATGTTCAGCTGGTTGATATACAACTATCAAGCACTTATTTGTGCATCAAATAAGTATGATACTTTCGTCTGTGTTATTAGTTCCTTTTTATTCCACTAAATCACAGTTTTGAGATAAAGATTGTTTTTAAAATATTTGAAATATCCCACAGGTAACACCAGTGATGATAAAACTGAGCAAGTAGATGAATTTTTCATTCCACGAATAATAATGCTGTGCGTGATGAGCCTCTCTGCCCTTCTTGGAGGAGTGCTTTGGTTTGTAATGAAGTGTGTTCAGCCTGTCTATGCCAAACAATCTGTAACTTTATATCATGGTATAAATTATGGGAATTATCAACCTTACAAGGGTAATTGAGTGTTAGGAATATTTTGGATGACATGAATTGAGAATTGTACTTGCCTACTTGTCGTTATTGGTTATGATATTGTAGTTTGTCGTTGTCCGAAAATAATTTCTCTACAAGATATTTATGTTTTACTACAGTATAAATATATATTTCATTTTATTGACCATTACCTGATAGTGCTCAATTATGCCATTGATCACAAGACCAGACTTTTAATAGATTTTGACAAGTTATCTAAATTGTTAAGTAACATTGCTATCTTATAAATGTTTGTGTGTTTGCATTCACTACTTTCTGATGGAAAATTTTTTCATATAATGACTTATTAAATGATATTTTTGTTAAAAAATATAATTGCAGTCAGAAGTAACTGCCCACACGCAACCCTTTAATAACTCACGTAATTTGTGTCAGAATTGCACACAAATTTCAGAGAATATAGATATGGGTCAAACTTAAATTTCCTGAAAGTTTCGTAAAATTTCATTGATTAGAGAAGGTGTGGCACGCCACTCCCTCTTTTTCACTATTGTTACCATAAAGTAAGAACGCTTTCAGCTATGAACTCCAAAGTTTCTAGACACATTTGGTTTGATAATTGAAGTGCTGTCCCAAAATTTCAAGTTGGTTGTTCACAATTTAAGCGAGTTATGGCACCATTTCAAGATCTTGCAGATATGTGATCTCTGCACTTAATCAGTGATTTCGTCGCCCAACCATTAATCTCATAGGGAGCTATTCGCTTGAGTGAAATAATGAGCCTCATTAAACGGTACCGAGCATGTTGGGGGATGACGATCTGATCACTTTGAGTGAATACTGATAGTGACTTTCCCTAAAATCAAAGAAGTTTGCGTTATATAGCGCTTCGGTTGCTGTCCTACCAATCAGGCCATTGATTGAGTGAAGATATCACTGACTCACTGATTCATTACCAGATAACGTATGATCTGTAAGATCTTGAAATTGTCATAACTTGGCTTAGTTGTAAACAATCAACTTGAAATTTTGGGAGCACTTTAATTATTAAACCGAATGTGTCTAGAAACTTTGGAGTTCCTAGCTGAAAGTGTTCTCGCTTTATGGTGACAATAGTGAAAAAGAGGAAGTGGTGTGCCAGACCCTTTTTAATCAATGACATTTTACGAAACTTTCAGGAAATCTAAGTTTGACTTATATCTACATTCTCTGAAATTTGTGTACAATTTTGACACGAATTACGTGAGTTATTAAAGGGTTGCGTGTGGGCAGTTACTTCTGGGCCACCCTGTAATATACATTTTCCTTATATTGTCTGACTAAGTATTTATGTAAAATATTTATTACTGATGTATTTGCTTTTATTTGCTTTCAGTATATTTTGTCTTTAATCATTGCTTTTGCTTACATTGTCCAGACACTTCTTTAAATGTTATTGCCCAAAAATGTTTACTTGACCTTCAGCTACATCTACAGTAGTTACTATTAACTTCACTCATCATTCACAATCAAAATTGAAGTCAATAACCGGATATAATCCTGTCTAGCCTGAATCATACATGGAGGATCTTGACATAGAATTGTCGAAAATCACAGTCAGCAAACCTAAAGTACAAGAAAACGAAGTCGTCCCTGACAAAAATGCACCTAACTCTTACAAGTCAAACAACGCAAAAGAGATAGAGGTCCTGAACTATGCAGAGAACTTTCGAAGACAATTTGTACACCTTTACAGAGATAGGAAGCCTCTGTTTCTTGCACCTCCTAACGAGTTCAGCATAGAGGTTTATTTTGTGATTACATAATATTGATAACAATGACTAAAACAACGTTTAGACTGTAGATTACAGTTTTTTTAATATTTTGGGGTTCAAATGTATTTAAATTTTTAACTATAAGATAGTAGTGAAACTGATATGTACTGAATATTGAGCAGTTCCTCAGAGAGATACAATAATATCGGATCAGAAAACAAAAACAGCTGCTGACATTGATTGTCGTTTAACACTATGAGATTGTACCGATGGTGTTCACCAAAAATGCATTTTATCTTGTTCTATTTCAGAAATTGGTTTGCACTACGTTGAGACCCACTTTACTTCCATACAAAGAGCTTTATGATTGGGATGGTGCATCTCAGTTTGTCAGTGATTATTTGAGCTACGTTCCACTTGAGTGTCCTAATGAGCTTGTGAGTATAATTGACATTTATTTCAGCTCAAAGGTATTTCTTAAAGTAATTATAAACGATACAGATTAAATAATCGCTTAAAAGCATATTATAGAATAAGATCTATAATAATTTTCATTCTTACCTTCAAATAATCGACGTATTTTAATACTTAATAATAATCGACAATATCAGTCATGAAAATATTTTCAGCCAGAAAGCTTGTTTTCACCAACTGAAGTTTTACGCCGTCAGAAAGGAAATTGTTTTGACTTTTCCAATCTTCTCTGTTCTCTGCTCCTCGGAGCGGGTTATGATGCTTATTGTGTCTGTGGGTACGCCACCAAAGAGGTTTGTCTAAATAGCTTTGTTTTTATTGACAATCGTAGATAGACGTTCGAAAGTTGTAGAATTACAATGCAAGAATCAATGACATAAAATTGATACTTTTTGGTTTTCTAAAGTTTTTGTCATCCACTGTTTCTCAATAGTCAGAGCAACTGTGGCCCAAAAAAGCTTGCAAAATAAGTATTTATTTCCTACTTACTATGTATCTAGGTAACTCTGATGGATCAAAGTCGGAGTCAGTGTCCTTTGTTGAAAAAGAAAGATACCGTTCTAAAAGAAGAAGGCAAGGCAAAAGAGAACAAGTATGATGTTAAACCTCCTCGAGATCTCAGAAGCAAATATCTTATCAAGGTCAACGATTTATCACTATCTTTTCTAATTAACAAGCAGACAAACAAAAAAGTGAAGCCAAGAAAATACAAACAATGACGTGATGTCTATTTCAAAAGGCCCTCAAGTAATACAAAATCCTTAACCTTGTTAGCAGCACAGTAACTAATACGGAATATTGCAGATGGAGGAACGCACAGTGAAGGAGCGTCAAGATGAAGAGCAGCGTGTCAAAGATGCAGAACTTGCGCGCATCGCTGAGCTGGAGAAACCTGCTCCTGATGAGTTATATGGAATGAGAGTTCATTGCTGGGTCCTTGTGTTGGCTGGTAAACGTGAGGTGTTGGACCGTTTTATATTAACTTTCTGAGTTTTATCAAAGAAACAAAATTATGGTTTTAAAATAGTCTGTATGATGCTAAAATGATTGAATCTTAAATAAGTAATTTCAGGTGCCCGAGAATTTCTTCATTGAACCGACGACTGGTAACTGTGTTGAAGCAGACGAATATCTTGGTATTGAAACTCTGTGGAACAATACCAACTACTGGGTGAACATGCAGGACTGCTCTCATGGTATTGGGGTATGATTCTCTTCTTATTCTTTTAGATTTACCGTACAGAATTATAAGAACTCATCATCAGGATCATAAAATTGTAATTTTAACATAATTCAAGGTTTATGGGTGCACTTAAACATTACATTTCAATTATACTCTTTGACTTGACAGGAGATGAGCTATGACCTGGGAGACATTGCACGCTGGGAGTTCATGTTTCCACATAACGATAAGCCACTGTTGATGCTGCCTGGAGAGGAAGAGTATGACATGCCACTTGATGAGGAGGAGGTTAGTTTACGTTGTAGTGCACTGTAAATTATATAATATATTATATAAAAGGAAAATAACCAAGTAAAACTATCGTAAAACAATGAATTTTAATCAAAATACAACATGATTTTCCCAACAACTTTTATTAAATATATAAATATAAATATTTCAGCAAGATGTAGATGTTCTGATTTTCATTCAGTACTAGACATAAGATCTTAAATTTTCTTAAATTCAGTTTGCTGCTACAATATATGCAGATGTAACTTCTTTACTAGGATAACTCTAGCGGTAACCCAATACTTCCGGTTCAATATTTCGACTCAAAAGATCTCTCCTCATTCCGCTGAAATTCAGCGTTGAACTTGCTTACAATGATTGTCATAGGTAGAGCCAGCATGATGACACCCAGACAAAGAACCAGAGATCCAGCCAACTTTCCCACTATTGTGACCGGATACATGTCACCATACCCTACCGTTGTGATTGAAACCAGCACCCACCAACATGACATAAGAATGGAGGAGAAACCGGAACTGGGACCTGAACCATCAGGAGGTTGATGAATTTTTGAAGGGTCGTTCTCAAGGTAGAACATAATGGAGCCAAACGTGATGACGAAGAGGAACATGCATATAAGCAGTATAAGGAGTTCTTGCCGAGCTTTGCCTATCGTTTTCAGGACTAGCACAAGACTCTCTGAGTGGCGCAGAAACTTGAAAACTCTCACTACACGTATTAGTTTCAAGGCACGGAAAACACCGTAATTGCCAATATCTGAGTTTGAAGTGCACGCCAATTGAACCATTTCTATGTAAAACGGCAGCACAGATAATATGTCCATTAAGTTCATGATGTTTTTCCAATAGTCGATCAACTTTGGCCAGGTTGCCATTCTGAGGATAATATCTACGGTGAACCAGAGCATTGTCATTGCATTCAGTGCAAAGAGCCATACGTTGATTGCCGCGTCACTCATCTTTGATAGATCAAATTTGTCTTTAAGAGTATCCTCTGACTCCAATAAAAACAATAGTGTCCCTAAAAGGATCATTGCAATATCCGTCATTTGGTAAAGTGAGGCAAAGCAGCTCTTCGGAGGATTGACCAGAAAGTTGTGAATCATCATTCTTCTCTCTCTAAAGCATAAGGGGGAGCTATCTTTCGTGGTGCTGTCCTCAATCTCAATTACTTTGTCGCCGGACTCCTGGAGACCATAGAAAACCTTTTCTGTTCGATAAATGTTAAAGTCTATGAATGGCGGAGGGCATTCTATCCCAGTTTGATAGAACTGAAGGATTGACTCGAAGCACGGCCTGTGTCTGTCAAGGTAGAGCGCATCTAGTTTCTGGGAATACAGCGCTTGTCGTTCTTTCAGATCTCCGAGTAACGAGTTTGGGAACCGACTTAAAGTCTCTTCTGTGATTACATACTGCAACCCTGAACAGTTTATGTATACGAGGTTTAAATCGTCCACTGCATCTTCTACTTCTACTGTAACTGTAAGCGGATCCTTTTGTAGAAGTTCGTCTTGCTTTGTCTTTTCACTCAAAGTTTTCTTGGGATTATCAACTTCAATCGATTCGTAGCTGTTTGTACTGGCTGGAGCCATCTTAGCGAGATTTATACTGCCTGGAGACATCTTAGCGAGATTCATTCTGGCTAGAGACATCTTATGCCTATGGAAATTTATACTGGCTGGAGACATATTAGCGAGAGGTATATTACTTACAGTCATAGATCGCCGTAAGTTTTTGTTGATGCCGTTTCTTTTTGAGCCGGGGATTGTTGCTTCTAATCTGGGGCTTGAATTTGGACTCTGTTTATAAGTAGGAGGTCGTCTTCCATTTAGCATGGGGCTATATACCGCTGAGTGTATATGCATTGTTGATACGCCGGAAAGAAAGCCAGCTTGTTTATAGAGTACAAAAGTTCAAAACGAGGATCATTTGGACGAATAGAAAATGAGAACTGAGCTAACGAATTTACTTAAGTATAAATTTCTTGTTAAAAGCATATAATACATATTAATTAATCAGGCAATGACGTATAAAAGTGACACTTATGAATTAACTAGAATCGATAATTCATTAAATCAATGATTTCCGCTCACTGAAGGATATATTTAGTCAATTCTTGGGAATAAAGTATTGGTTGAATATACTGAAGCCAGTCAGGACAATCGCTATAATTGGAAAGTTTAAAATCTAATTTTTTCTATAGAAATATGCGTTTAATAAAATGAGGGCATAATAAAGGTACTGTATTCAATTATTATTCCCGGAAAATTGAGATAAGTCATACATAATTCCTCATAAATTCAACTCGATTATATTCGACTTGAATTTCCGGCTTCCACATCTCAAGGAGAGACTATTTTATTGATGGAGTTGCAATAATCGGACGATTCGCTTAAAACGGTGCATCTTCTAAAAACACACTCAAAAAGTCAAAACGATCGGCTGAAATCGGGAGGATTGTAAAGGTTTAAATATTGTATCTGAACGCAGGGAATTGTTTTTAGGACGAGGTTGAAGAAGATTCAGATATGCCTGGTTCTTGGGTCAACGAGATCACCATTCCTTTGGAAGGTTTGTACTTGAATTATGTCCTAACAATATGAGCCTTACATCGTATACGTGCTACATTTCATTAATTATTTCACTAATTATTATACGTTTTATTAATTATTACACTAATTATTATACGTTTCATTAATTATTCGGCTTGAGAGTCATCATCAAAAACGCTTTCTTTCTTAATCAGATGAAACTTTACGTGTAAACCAATATTTCAGATCTGCAACGAAGATGTCCCCAAGGAAAGAGGACAATACTGTACAAGCAAGCCAAGTATGAAATATTTGCTGAGTACTTGATGCAGGATGGTATGGTTTCAAGGCTCACTGAATACGCGGATAGTGCACGTGCGTTATCTTTAGATCTTATTGTTAAATATGTTCATTAATTTTAAGTTTAAACACTGTTTTTAACTAATTTACATCTTATTCAACACAAGTATATGTACAATTTACTAAATTTACAATAAAAGCGATGGAATATAAATGACTCATTCGTCAAATTTGACGAATGAATACAATTTTTTAGTTCAGTCTGCCTCCTTAGCAAAATTTTCTATCATAAAATCTTCTACTCTAATTTCGGCGTCATTTTCATTTCTCTGATCAGGACTTCTTCTTCCGTTTGACAAATCATTGCTGATAAATGTAAAGCGTATTTTCAAAGCGTTCATGAAAGTAAGGCCTTTCGTCTGCTTTGCATCCGCAACAGAAACATATACAAACTCAACCAAAAACAAAGTCAAAGAAATGGCGACTCCTAAACACAATAAATAAAACACTCCGGCTACAGTATCCAGATCCCACGTGACCTTCTCTCCCATTCCTGATGCGGAACACACGGTGGCTCCGGCTGCCCACTTTTCCCACAGAGTATCAATAAAACCTTCCTCTCTGAACTTGAGAAGGTATGTGTCTATAAGAGATTCATACGGAGAGTTTTTTGGTAGACCAAAAGCGTATTCAAAGGATTGAAACTCTTCTCCGACAGAAAATATATCACAGTCCCCTCTGAGATTGTATGCTAGGACGGGCGACTCGTCTATGAAGACAAAGTACCCATCACGTACTGTTTCCACCGCATCGTTCAGTCCCTGTAACTTGATTCCTTCATTAACAAGTCTTGAGTAACTTGAGTCCATGTGCGTCTTCAGAAGAGTCTCAGGATGTCTGCTCCCAATGACCCCCCATTTGTACGTATCCTGTGCCAGTAGATCAAGGACTGTGCTCAAGGATATCCCGAGGTTACTGAGAGTAAGGGAGGCGGTGAGGTTGGCGGTGTACATGGAGGTTACAATTAACATGAACGTCCACCAAGTCATGAGGAGGAATCGTCCGGATATACAATGGGGGAGTGCTCCAATTGTTTGTCCCACCAGACCAGTGCTCATTAACCACAACGAGCTGTAGAAAGAAACATCCTCCTCCTCCTTTACCTTCTCCACGAGGCAATTATATTTCTTTGTGCTGTGCAGTGAGCACTGTTTCTTTTTCATTTCATCTCTCCGTGTTACACATTCAGTACAAGAACACCTTCTCACTGCGTTAAGTTTAGCTCCGTACTTACCATAGGGGGAGAACTTGCCTAGAAAGCAGATGAGAGCAACCAGGATGAAATATGTGAGCAGAACCATCGACCAGACAAGAGGGTCGAATGGAGACAAGAAGAAGAATCTGTTACCTGTCCCTGATTCACCCTTCACCACCGCTTTTATACCTGCGTCCATAAAAGGGAAGCTGTAATCAATGACATTTTTTCTGGCTGAGTTGGTTGACAGATCGATCATGGCTATCATGTCAGTTTTATCTGCTAGCAAATCTCCGATCATCCCATTCCATTCCTTGGTAGTCTCGTTTATTGCTCCAAACTTTAAATCAGCCGGAGGAATATACTCGTATGTGAAAGACAACTCTTCAGCAAGCCGGACCACCATGTCGTTTACCATTCCCGACCAGCAGGCATTTCCCTTGCATTCCTCCGTGGAATAAAACATGAAAGGTTTCTCCTCTACTGACCCTAATCTCAAGTGTTTACCTGCCAAATTCTTCGCTACACCAGTTGGACGTCAGTGGTTCCAGCGAAAAACTGTATTTCTTTCGTCATCTGGAGGCCTGATGAGTTGGTCCAAGTACCAACCGTTGTGAACTTATCATCAACAAAGTTCAGTATATCGTAAGACGGCTCATTTCTTTCTCCGTGATTCGTGAAACTGATTTCTCCCGAAATTCCCGTATACCTGGTTTGTAGTATTGAGTCCAGTACAGTTTTACCTTGGTTCCAACTTTCTGATCCAGAAGAGCATTCCGCATCCTGTGTAATTTCCTCTGAAACTCCTCCCAGTGCTGCGTCAACAAATCCTACTGCATCGTATGTCAGGACTGTGTAACTGGTCAAATCTTCAGCGCTACCACCGTTCAAAATGTACGAGTCTTTAAATTGCTTGTACTTGCTACCTTTTATTTGTGCTGGCTTGATCCCTATTAATCCCTCGTAGAAACTCAGACAGCTGCCATTATCTTCCGCTAAATATTGAGGTTGTGAGGCTATGGCATCCGTCACTATCCACACATATTCTGGTCCCATCAGACCTAACTCGTGGGCCTTTTCCAGGACTTGTTTCCCAAACTCAGCTGCAACATTGAGCACGATAACCTTGACGAGGGAGTGCCGGATATGGGACAGTGGACCTGATATGTCCGTTGTAGTATTATCTGAGAAAAATATCAAATCTTTTATCCTTACACTTGAGTCTGTTATCAATAAATTTTCTAGTTTTACCATCCCGTTTAGTCCATACGAATCTGCCGTTGCCAGAATTGAAACTTCGTGCCAGTTGTTATATTTGATCAAACTGTAGATAGCTTCGCTCTGATAAAAATCCGATGCCAACATTCGAATAATGTATTCCCGATTTTTATTCCAAAGAAACGGATCAGTAGCTGAGACTGCTATATGTGGGATTTCCAATGGTGAAAATATGTCGGACTGAATGGCGGTGTCTGAAGAATCTCCCTTGGTGATAACCATAGAAACTCCGTCCGTCACCAGCTGACAACATGCCTCTATCATGCTCTGTAAGTTGGTGTCATCATACTCCACTGTTACCAGAGTATAGGACACGTTCTGCGCGGCGTAGCTGGACAAGCTCTTCAGGGCATTGTTGTACCTGTCTTGTTTTGAGAATAGCAATCCCACTTTCGTTTCTGAGGAGGAGGATGCGAGGGCGCAGATAAAGAGCAGTAGTTTATACATCCTGAAGTGTTGTGTAGATTAATTATGGTTCGACTTAGAGTGATATTATAGTGATGTTATATATATTAGAGTGATGTTATATATATTAGAGTGATGTATATCAGTTTCTTGTTGGTGTTTCATTCTGCTTATTTGGTTCACAGGTTTTTCTTAGACTCCGTCAGTGGCGTAACGTTGCCTGTTGGCGCCCCCCTGCCGAAAAGGCGCCCCCCTGTTGGCGCCCCTCCCCTTTTGGTGCCCCTCCCTAAAATTGAACAAATTAGGTGATTTTAGAGGATACGCAGATAAAATCTCTAAAAAAGTGTGTATCTAGAGCAAAACGCGCAGTTTTGCTAGTACTTTAGTTAAGTTTTCGAAATTGTCCCACATTCAAACGACGATTTGGCGCCCCCCTAAGACGGCGCCCCCCTGCACAGCAGGGTCAGCAGGGCCCTTCGTTACGCCATTGGACTCCGTGTTAGGACATTAGCTTTCTGTACCACTTTTTCGTTATCTTAGAATTTATTTCCCTTTTATTTTATTCCCACTCTCGATTCCTCGCTAGCAGTCCGGTTAATTTTAATCATTAGGTCTTATTAAAGAACCTCTCACCCTCTAAGAAAACTCCGTTTGGAGATATTCCTTGTTACGTTCTATGTTATTAGAATTTTACTAAATTTTCTAACACGTGCATAATGCATTATAAAGGAGTAAAATGCCTCCGCAGGCATTCTAGAACGGTATTTATTTTAACACTTCATGCACGGGTGCCATTCTGCTTATTTGGTTCACAGGTTTTTCTTAGACTCCGTGTTAGGACATTAGCTTTCTGTACCACTTTTTCGTTATCTTAGAATTTATTTCGCTTTTATTTTATTCCCACTCTCGATTCCTCGCTAGCAGTCCGGTTAATTTTAATCATTAGGTCTTACTCTTATTAAAGAACCTCTCACCCTCTAAGAAAACTCCGTTTGGAAGATATTCCTTGTTACGTTCTATGTTATTAAATTTCCTTGTGTTTGAATACTGTCACTTTTTAACTGCTTTTAGTATCTGTTATTTTAGGCCGATTTCTGCAATTTTACACTGGGTCATCATTCATTATTTCTGGGATGGAGACGACTTATATCTCCATTTAACCTGAAGCGTTTGCTTGTCTGACTTACTTCATTAGACTTTATTTCAACATACCGTGTCGTATCATGCTTTATCGTGTCTCCTTCATCAGACACTGGCTTTCTTTCAACATACCGTGTCGTATCATGCTTTATCGTCTCTCCTTCTTCAGAGACAGGCTTTATTTCAACATACCGTGTCGTATCATGCTTTATCGTCTCTCCTTCTTCAGAGACAGGCTTTCTTTCAACATACCGTGTCGTATCATGCTTTATCGTCTCTCCTTATTCAGAGACAGGCTTTCTTTCAACATACCGTGTCGTATCATGCTTTATCGTGTCTCCTTCATCAGACACAGGCTTTCTTTCAACATACCGTGTCGTATCATGCTTTATCGTGTCTCCTTCATCAGACACTGGCTTTCTTTCAACATACCGTGTCGTATCATGCTTTATCGTCTCTCCTTCTTCAGAGACAGGCTTTATTTAAACATACCGTGTCGTATCATGCTTTATCGCCTCTCCTTCTTCAGACACAGGCTTTCTTTCAACATACCGTGTCGTATCATGCTTTATCGTCTCTCCTTATTCAGAGACAGGCTTTCTTTCAACATACCGTGTCGTATCATGCTTTATCGTGTCTCCTTCATCAGACACAGGCTTTCTTTCAACAAACCGTGTCGTATCATGCTTTATCGTCTCTCCTTCTTCAGAAACAGGCTTTATTTCAACATACCGTGTCGTATCATGCTTTATCGTGTCTCCTTCATCAGACACAGGCTTTCTTTCAACATACCGTGTCGTATCATGCTTTATTGTGTCTCCTTCATCAGACACAGGCTTTCTTTCAACATACCGTGTCGTATCATGCTTTATCGTCTCTCCTTCTTCAGAGACTGGCTTTATTTCAACATACCGTGTCGTATCATGCTTTATCGTGTCTCCTTCATCAGACACAGGCTTTCTTTCAACATACCGTGTCGTATCATGCTTTATCATCTCTCCTTCTTCAGAGACATTCACTATTTCAGTCAAGGTATTTATCCTTATATTTATTATTGGTTTTTGAATTTTTATTTTATTTATCAGTTTAATTTGTAGAAAGTGGTTTCAATATTATCAATTATCCTTCTTCCAACTACTTCAAAAATAGGTACCATGGACACTGGATCTCAGCAACATACAGAAGATACTACCTGTCATCATTATAGAGTCTAATGAACTCTACCCACAGGTTAGTCAGGCAGTGGATCACACTCTGATGACATCTCCTTTTGGAGATTTTCGGACTCTCGTCTCTCAGACTACCTATACTAGTTGAGTGTGTTCCATAACCTAGCACCCTGCCTAAACGTTCGGTACTCCTGGACCTATGTGGCAAGCCTGCTCCCTGAACAAACAAATTCTTGTTGGTGTTTTGTCTGTGTTTGTTTGTCCGTAGTAGGAATTTACTGTAACTTTGGAGACTGGGCGCAGTAATGTCCCAGAGGGTTTGTAACATCATGGATGCTGACTAAGCTTACCTGATCCTCTCCAACTTGTATTAGTACACTACTTCATTCACACCAGTCATTTCACTACATTAAACTGATTGAGGTTATGCCCTTTGTACATGCTGAAGCGATATGCTATGATGAGTGGAATATGAGTTAGGATCAGTTTGGTCCGTTTCATGGCAAAAACATTTATTGATATTAGAGTGATCTTATATATATTAGAGTGATGTTATATATATTAGAGTGATGTTGTATATATTAGAGTGATGTTATATATATTAGAGTGATGTTATGTATATTAGAGTGATGTTATATATATTAGAGTGATGTTATATATATTAGAGTGATGTTGTATATATTAGAGTGATGTTATATATATTAGAGTGATGTTATATATATTAGAGTGATGTTATATATACCTTAATTCCCAAAAATTTGGGCGACAAAAAATTTGAGCGGGCCTCTCGCCCAAATTTTTTGCAGACCAAATTAATTGCATAAATCTTTTCCGTCCGCTAAATTTTTTGCTAACCAAACTTTTGGCATTTGGCCTGTGGCCCTGAAATCTATAGAAAGATGGCTTTTTCTTCATATCCAAGTGAAATAATATTTGAAATTTTAGTTTTCTAATTCTGCTTAAAATTGAAAGCAAAATGACTTGAACAATAAGGAATAATAATGAACTAAGGCAAATATCTAACTGAAATTTTAGTGGAAAATCGTTAATTTTTCGAAGAATTTGTGCCCAAATTTTCGGTCGCCCAAATGAGTTCAAATTTTCTGCCCAAATTTTTCGGGCTCAAATAAATTGTGCTCAATATAATGGCGCACAAATTTTTGGGAACTAAGGTATTAGAGTGATGTTATATATATTAGCGTGATGTTATATATATTAGAGTGATGTTATATATATTAGAGTGATGTTATATATATTAGAGTGATGTTATATATATTAGAGTGATGTTATATATATTAGAGTGATGTTATATATATTAGAGTGATGTTATATATATTAGAGTGATGTTATATATATATTAGAGTGATGTTATATATATTAGAGTGATGTTATATGTATTAGAGTGATGTTATATATATTAGAGTGATGTTATATATTAGAGTGATGTTATATGTATTAGAGTGATGTTATATATATTAGAGTGATGTTATATATATTAGAGTGATGTTATATATATTAGAGTGATGTTATATATATTAGAGTGATGTTATATATATTAGAGTGATGTTATATATATTAGAGTGATGTTATATATATTAGAGTGATGTTATATATATTAGAGTGATGTTATATATATTAGAGTGATGTTATATATATTAGAGTGATGTTATATATATTAGAGTGATGTTATATATATTAGAGTGATATTATATATATTAGAGTGATGTTATATATATATATATTAGAGTGATGTTATATATATTAGAGTGATGTTATATATATTAGAGTGATGTTATATATATTAGAGTGATGTTATATATATTAGAGTGATGTTATATATATTAGAGTGATGTTATATATATTAGAGTGATGTTATATATATTAGAGTGATATTATATGCTTCAATGGAAATATTACACTGCCTACAATCAGAACATCAACGAAAGCTGGCAGCATTACGAAATGGTGTATATAATTATAAACTATATTTCCTGCCCAAACAGGAATAAGCTTTAATCCCTTTAATCACTGGTAAAGTGGTTGACATTAGCAGTGCATGTGTAGATCAGTTTAGCTTTGAAACTCTTCATAACCTCTAGTGGTTCAAGAGTGATTAGAGACGGGTATAACGTATAGGAGACGTGAGTAAAACCACTAACGTCTCCCAGCTGTTGACATCTAGATCTGGATATCTATCAGTATCCGGATCTATTTACCCATTATTCGGTATTTTACGGTATCCATTATATTTATATTACCTGATAACCGACATTGTTTTGCAATAGCCTGCAATTATAAAATCTACAAGGACTAATTCTGGCACCGACTATGATTACTGTGGAAGTTCTGCTGAAGTTTTGTGGCTTATTGTGGAAGTTTAGGAGCTGCCAGACGAGAAGGCTCGCTGAGATTTAACTACAATTAACAAGCAGACCAATCAGGGGATTGTTGGCCCGACACGTATTAACCAATCAACAAGAATTCCAAGAATTACAAATCAACAAGAATTCCAAACGGTTATCATATCCAGTGCATAATATCTCAAGATTGCAGTTTTATCTAAAGAACTAAAGCTTAACAAATATAAAGGCGAATTTTTTGGCACCAAAAACGGTTTTGGTGTATGTCCCCTTAATAGTATACAGAATATCATGTCTGAACATTCAAGCTACTGCAAACAAATACTCCATTTTGCTAGGGTATGTGGAGTAAAATGAGCAGAGATAATGAAGATGAGTGTGGCAAGTCCTTCTCTTCTTCTTAGAGGGTGTCTTACCAACACTAATCCTGATACTAATGCTCTAAATACTATGTTCTTGGCTTTAACATGACATCTAGACTTGTTATACTGGATCTTATTGTATGGTCTATACTTTATGTAAGTACATATCATTGTCTATATTACAATGGTCTATAAAGAGATCCTAAGGGCGTGGTCTTTATCAACAGACTGCTACATCCCCCCCCTACAGACTGCTACATCCCCCCCCCCCCCCCCCTACAGACTGCTACATCCCCCCCCCCCCCTTATAGACTGCTACATCCCCCCTACAAAACTATGATATAATAGGTAGAAAGAGTGGCCAAATCAAAGAAATTTGAAAACATATATCATTACCGGTTGCAGTGAGCATGCAGCTATTTTTATGGAACAGAAAACAGTGAAAAGTTAATGACTGATCGTTAACAAAGTTCTTTTTTATAAAGTTATAACACAGACAATATGTTAACCAACCGTGTGAATAGTTGAAATATAGTGGTGATTTGTAAAATGATATCTTAATCATGAGCCGTAAAACACGCATACTGTTCACAGAAAACCACTAACATGACAATTATTTAACTTATAATACTTTCAGCACTTGTAAGAGGGCACAAATGTCACTACCCAACACGTGGGCTTACTTCTTTTTCACTGGGCGCCGTATTTTAACAATTCTTTCTGATATGGTTTGCTTGAGATGTATAACACGGGAATTTTGAAAATTGGCATCAAAATCACCACCAATTAATCGCTAAGCAACGACTAGCTCAACAAGCTTAGCCGAAGGGAGCAACTTTAAGCTTGGAATACTCCAAATACCAGTTAGTGAGCATAAGCTCCTTACCACTTACTTCCGGGTACCCTCTGCTTAGCAACGTATAGCAAATGTCTTGCCGAATGCCGGTGTCGGCAGTTTGCATTCGATTATAAACCTTAGAAGTACCTTAATTAAGTAGGTAACCAGTCTAAAGTGTTAATTAAGTAGGTAACCAGTCTAAAGTGTTAATTAAGTAGGTAACCAGTCTAAAGTGTTAATTAAGTAGGTAACCAGTCTAAAGTGTTAATTAAGTAGGTAACCAGTCTAAAGTGAACAATGAATTAGCTTCAATAAAAACTGTTTAATAAAGAGACTCTTATAATATCATAAAACTTTTGGAGACCCAAGAAAACAATAAATACAAGAAAAGAACAAACTTTCATTTAAATCAATTATAGCAACAATTTTATAGGACATTTAAATTATTCCATTATTCAGGAATGTACGAGTAGAAGGGTACAAAAAATATGCGAGATATGAAAGGCAGCTACGTGTCTACATAATAACTTACGCACAATGAAATATGCATGATCAGTTTTTAGACAAATGACTGCAGATTGAATTGTATTATTTTTATTTACCTAAAGATAAGATCCAGACAGTAAATTGGACCGATTATTGAAATTTGGAGCCATCACGTACTACAGTAAGTAGACAGTTATTAGAAACTGTCATTGTTAGTCGTCAGTACCAACATAGCGTGTCATCTTTTTACAGTTCAGTCATTTCGATTTGGGACCATTGCTTAAATTCAAAAGCTAGGATGTTGTAAATTGACGGTCACACTAATGATAGGATCTTGGTCCTACAAATATGCAAAATAGATTTATGTTAATTAGTTTATCTAATTGTTTGTTTGTTTGAATCCGGACGGTGCCGGCACTTCTAATGACTGATTTAAAAAATATAATTACATAATAATATGACATCAAATTCCTGTCAAACTTAGTAGAATAGACGAATGTAATAAAAGGAGGATTCTTATTAAATAAACTGCTCACAGATTTATGAGTCTGGTACCTATCTGTGCGAATTTATTCACAACTTTAACAGCTGTCATGAAGGTTAAAAATTTACGGATTTAAGGTATTTGGACCTGTGTTAAATTATCACACAGAAAAAAGAGTTTTAACAATTTGTTGTTTCAGTGACACAGCCTGTGAAGTCTATGGAGTGGTTCAAACACCGTGTAGATAAACTAGAGACGAGAGAAACTGATCTCGTCACAAACAAGGTAAAGTTGAGCATAATGAACATAATAATGATAAAAATGAGCTTATAGAACTTCTTAAACGTTGTTCAGGAGCCCAGTTCAGTTTTATCAGATAAAGTTGGTATTCGGCTAGCCTCCATTCTTCGGAGGCGGTGCCACTTTGGTTAACACGTGTCAACGATTATAATAATCGACTAATAAAAACAGCCACTAAGATACTCTTGCTGTGGTCACGTGTCAAAACAAACAGAGCTTATAAGTCACTAAATCATCTTATAACCGAGGGAGGGCTGTTCAGCAACAATACAAAATATTGGGGTTCTTAAGAAGCACTTAATAATAAGATTTACAATCTTTATTCTTCCTATCATTTTACATCTTATGCCACTGAAAATGCGAGCTTAACTGAAGAGTTGGGGTGAATTCATTCGCCATAAACTTCTACATCGTAACCATTGGCTATTGACTACGTACATGTTACAAACTAGGAGACGAGTAAATGGGAATAAGTGGGGCGGCTTCTACTGTAGCTATATAATCACGGAACTTCTAATGTAATGCAAATATTTAAGCAGTGTGCACTTTGCATCTTATTATAAACCGTTTAAATGTTGAAGTAGCTAAATTACATGGTTACAGTAGAACCCAACTCACTAAGTGGTCGATCACACTTTGAGGGAGGGAGGGGGTTTCTAAATGATTACGTTTACGTACGCTAGCATAATCAGACGCTAGTATAATCAGAACATAATAGCTAGTATAATCAGAACATAATTCGGGGTAATTACATTGGCTAATAATGATTTAAAGTAATGTGTTAACGACCCCTTACTTTCATTTGCTTGTCTTCTAATTCACAATTCATATTAAAGCGGAGACGACCATCTAATAATAAAGACGATAATCATTAACCAGGCCTAATTAATTTCTAAAAGTGTACAGACATACATTAATATTTTACTTTCGCCTCGATCTTGAAACAAATATCAGTACAACAATAATTTGATCTTCCTTGCCATCTCCATTTTTCCTTTAATTTCACCTCATCTTTTGCCTCATACCAGGTAACAGAGACGTATGGTGCTGGACGACAGCGTGCTCTGAGACAACACATTTATTATTCCAACCAGACTGGATCTGAGGCTACTCGTATTATGGAGTTTGATGGCAGGTAACCACTTACTAGGCAATTACGGGGATCTGTTTTTAAAACCTTTTGTTGAGCGTCCGTTTCGATCCGTTTAGTAGTAAAAGATATTATATATGATATTTAAATTTTGGAAAGCTTTGAACTTTCCAAAAAGTTAATAAACCCCTTCTTACAAAATAGTGGTTTTCGAATGAACTCCTTGCTTTTTATGTTTATCTATATATATTGAGCAATGTTAACATATGATGTCACTGAAAGTGTAACCATTTGAACTTATTTCAGTGCTCGTACAGACGGCTTGAAGGCAAGGGAAGAAACGCCGGCTAAGTTAACCGAGCATTACTGCGATAGGGACGACTGTCTTACTAAACGACTGGTCAATTACACGAAACGAGTTAAGAAGTTCGGACCCGCTGAGGGAAATGAGAAACCAGTAAATGTAAGTGCTTGTGAGTATTTATGTGTTACCGCCAATAAAATTTGTTTGCGCGATTCTTCGGTCACAACAATAAAATTACTTCTCGTCGAGCGCGATGACAATATTATTGATAGAACTGCGCAAGAAACCAATTTGTAACCTAGCAACCGTCGTTATGCGCACAAAATACCAGGTGGTCCTGAACTCCTAAAATATATCCTTTTTTGATCTAATTGCTAATTGCATACAGTCAACGTGCACACGAACAAAGGTAAGCGACTAGTATAAAGATACACATATATATAGATAGACAGCCGTCGAAAAAATAGCAAAGGGAGCACTGGGGTTTTCGTTATGACTCTATGATTAAGTTTTTGTCACAGTTTTGCCAAGTTTATGTCACAGTCTACCGATTTCAGCAAGTCACGGAGTTCTACAGCAGGGATCCCTCTATTCCAGCTGACGATGATATCGCTGAACTTACTTTCTTGTTGAACGAAGAAAAGATATTCATTAAACACCATCTACAAGTAAGGAGACTCTTCAGTTTAAGTTGCATCAGCTCCAAAATCTAAGCTGCAAGTTGCTCACCTTTCTAAGCTAATTTTCGGACAATTTAGACTAAGATTTTCTTGACAGTTCTCTTAGTTATAAACAGACCTGTACGTGAGTCTTAGGTAAACTTTTTCTCTCCAGGATCAGAGAATAATAGCCAGCACACACGAATACCTTAAACCACAACAATCAGAAGATAAGGGGCAGGTTCAGATAACCACAGACATGGTCTCTTCCTTCCAGGTATTTCCAGTTTATTTCAACAATTTGTCCCTTTACAATGTAATATTTGAAATGTATGAATTGTATATTTTTTTCGCCTCTTTATTTCTGCTTCAGGTATTCAAACCACTATCCTTCTGCAATGAACAAGAAGTTACTGTTGGACACCCCTCCATATATTCAGTTTATCCACGTCAAGATGTTTTCATTTTACTTTTTATTTTAACCGCTTTATGTCATCTTCAGGTAGAAAGAAGGGCTAAAAATCCCAAACTTATGCACATATACCAAACGATAATGAGTTTGATTGAAAAGGAAGAGCGGTGTATCGAGAACGTCAGAATCAGCGAACAAGAGGTTTGTTAACGATAATTCCAATGTGTCTCATTTCTCTGTTGTTTCATTAACAACATGATCAATAGGTATTGTGTACGCTAAAAACTAGCAAAATTAAAATCCATCGACTTCTTGGTTACTACGCTTGCTAGATTTAATGTAATCTACAGGTACGAGATGTGCTGGAACAAAGGACACAAGAAGAGTTGACCACTGAACTGAGTGTGTCCATTTACGACACAGCTAGAAACGACACCGCCAAGAAGAGGCGGGAAGAAATAGTGAGTCTAGTTTTTAGTATTACCCTCTTTTATTTTGTTTATTTCTTGGCTGTTTTCATCTGTTGCACTTTCAAATTCTTGACTCGAGAGTATTAAATTGAACAGGAGTGGATTTGAGTAACATAACTACGGAAACTGATGTTCGACTCTTAATTACAGCCTGCTACAGTTGCATGCATGATTACAGCTTATTTTTACATTCCAGTGCAGTCTTATACTTTTACATGCGTTGTTCAATATCAGCTCTCTGAATATATGTCGGCTTATTTTTGATATTCAAGCAGAGGCTCGTCGTGCGCTACAAGTGCTACTAGTGCTACTAGTGCTACTGAGGGTTTAGATAATGGAAAAGTTCAGTTTCGAGGATATTTTGGACGATGGAACTGAGTGGGTGAAGCAGATTCTTCAAATGGTTGAGACTCAAACTGTTGGAGAGGTTACGTCTAATTCGTTCACATCTCGTCCAGATATCACCAACAAAGTTTTGGCTGAGAAACTGACTTCCGCGTTGAATATCGTAAACATGCAAAACCAGTATACAAGACATTTGGAGAAGCAGACTCAGCAACTAAAATCTGATGTGATAGTCAATCAGAGAACTGTTATTGACTTACAGAGGGAACTTGTCGCTGATCAAGAACAGCAACTCACCCATCTGAAGACAACAATCGTAGCATCAGTTGAGGACACAGTCAAAACAGAACTGGGATTGTATAGAGACGCTTTACAGAAGTCGAATAATCAAAGTGGCAATGTTATTAAAGAAGAAATCAAAAGTCGAAACCAGATGATATTTGGCCTAGCAGAAGAGACAGAACAGCAAGTCTTATTGGAACTATTTGTAAAGCCAAGCATTGTCGGTCTTGAAAACTGTGAGACGAAAAAGGTTCGACTTGTCTAATGTCTAGGTGTCCGTAACCATGGTAACTCATTGCTCAATCATCTTGCATCAGGTTTTGAGCAGAATTCTGTTCGATTCAGGATATCTTTATCTTTATCGGCCAGATTGTTCCACGGAGCAGTGAGAACTTGTAAATGAACTTAAATGGAGGAATACTGACTCAGTATTACTGAGGAAGTTTTGGTCAGTTTTGTAGTGTTGACAAAACTGTTGATCGGTGTGTTTAGTTCAAATTACCGTTTGGTTCCATTACAAACTTCAAGCTTCTACGTTGTGCGGAGAAAAAATCATGTAGTTTATTTCAATGCACTCACAATACTGTTTATAGTATGTATTCTGATTTAGTAGATGTAACAGTGAAGATACATATCTGTGTAAACTGTAAAGCGCCGTCTCTCGATTTATCTCTTAATACAGGTTTAATGTAAATATAAATGTTATGTTAAAGTTGGGCCATTAAAACACTTTACCGTTTGCGGGAAATGTAACAAAATGTCTTCCAGGAGCGTAAGAAGCGAGATGATGAAGCCAGGCGCGAAGAGATGGAGTTAGACTACCTCGCTCCATTCCTGGCTAGAATAGGTAAGATCTGGCTATAATTGAGATTACTAGACCCACTAGATTATTTATTCCGTTACCTATTTTTTAATAGAGATAATAGCAGTAAGTCTTTAAATGCTAAATACTTGAAATCGTGTAGTTGATCTGATCCCTTGTATCAGGTGATCCCGCTCAGATGACGGCAGAACTGGCCCAACAGCTCAAGGAAGACTGTTTAGAAGACCTCAAACAGAGACTGATCGACATGGCTAACCTCATTCAAGGCCGCTTTGAAAAGGTTGGTGAATCATCAAGAGTATGTTTTCCAAAGAAGATCCGGACCAAATAAACTGAACAATCAATTATGATACTATCTTCTATCCCAAGGCCAAGAAGTATGCGATTATTTATGTATTTTGGTATGAGACATAAACATTTGTTGTCCAGGAAACACAGCAACTGCAGTGGAAACAGAACTGGTACCAGCAGAACCAGACAACGATGACTAAAGAGGAGGAGGAGGAATATGTCAGTTACTGCAGTGAAGCCATGTTCCGGATACATATCTTAGAAGAGCGACTTAACAGGTTTGATTCTATGTACAGTAAAACAGATTTACCGCGCCCTGATTTACTGCAAACCCCGATTTACCCCGAGTATTTCCTTTCCCCCGAATTTTTCTTCAAACATTTTTTTCCGAAAATCTCGATTTTTTTCTGAAAAGTTTAATTTTTTGCCTGGTCGACGTTGTCTGTAGAAGTAGTATTTGCTTGTACTTGTACTTGTACTTGTACTTGTACTTGTACTTGTACTTGTACTTGTACTTGTACTTGTACTTGTACTTGTACTTGTACTTGTACTTGTACTTGTACTTGTACTTGTACTTGTACCTGTACTTGTACTTGTACTTGTACTTGTATTTGTACTTGTACTTTTTGCCAACTTCAAATCAAATAAGCGAGGTTGCCTCAATTAAACTCGCCTAGAACACTACAGCGTATTACACCCTACACAAACTATCGTGATAACTAACTCGCACATCAAACTTCAGGCACAAAGAGCTGGCCCCCCAAAAGTACGTGGCTCTGGAATCAAGACTCAGAGGTGACAACAGACTGGCGGAGTTTCTTAACTGATGATAAACTCAGATTTGCACGGGACCTTCTGGTAACCGGGTTTCTGGAATATTCCCTAATTTTAGTGTCGTTTATTTCTCATTTTTTGAGGTTTCTGCTAGGAAACTCCCACTTTTGAAGCGAGGATAAACTGATATTATTCACAGTAAAACGACGATTTTATAGTTGAAATGAAATTTATTGTGTAAAAAGTGTACATACGGAGAAAATTGATTTATATGGTGATGATCAAGCTCTTTCATTTCTTCACGCTCAATTATCAAAATCAAATGAAGACAATATATAAACTTGGTTAAATAGCTCCTTCATTTCTCGAGCAACTCGAAATTATCGAAAACTTGCATCTTGGGCAAATCGAAATCTTACAGTTGGTTAAAGAGATCAAATCACGCCCTTCTGCGTTCGTCGCAACGTAATTTCTTGAGATGATAGAGAAATGTTGAACACTGTCATTTTGTCGAGTCACACCTCTTATTAAAAAACCTTATTTCTGGGACTCCGCAGGCAATCGTCCTCTTCATCCTCGTCTCAAGAATCTGATAATATCATGCGTCTGGCTATATTATGGGGTCTGTAACAGCTCCGTCATAAAAATAGATTAGATTTCTGACTAGAGTACCGACGATAATTCAATATAGCTTCATGATACAAGAATCAGTTCGATCGTCCAATGCAACAGATGCGGGAATCTTGAAATGGGTGTCTGATTCTTGCTATTATTGCTATATTGCTACATTCTTGCTATTATTGATCTCAATATTTGGGGGCACGTTTTCTGGTAAACTTTAAGTTTGGTGTCTGTGATTCTAGCTGTTAACGCCCTTGATGTACTGTATGAACTCATCTGCTGTTATAGTGCCGTCACCGTCCACGTCTATTTCCCTGAAATATGTGAAATTTGTGAGATATGTGAAATATGTGAATTAATTTCAGGAGACAATTGTGATTGATTTAAGTGGCCTATTTTTGATCAGAGATAGGTTTCAATGACAAAATAGTACGTTTAAACAATACGATTTAGATTTTAAGAAACTTAATTGTACATTGTAATGAGAATCTAAAGCCTGGTTGATTCTTCTATCACCCGTAATATCTTCTATCACCGGTAATATTCAAACGCTAAAATCATATCTTATACTTGAGAGTAGTGACAGAGTACTGTTAATTGTAAAATTATCTCACTTAAAGAATTCCTCTGCTTCGTTGTCAGTAAATGCCTCCCCGTACGTAGTGAGTGCCCGTTTCAGCTGTTCCAACGACAAATACCCGTTACCTTCCTTGTCAAACACCTGTGTCAGGTAACCAAATTTAAAATTACAAAAATCTGAAATTTCAAAGTACAATTTATATATTACAGTTAACTTCAGTTTCGTCTCTTTTGTAGTTTATCAAAGTTTGCGCATGTAATTGTACCTAGTTCTCAGTTCTGCAACTAGAATATTGTAGCGAGAGTACTAGCCAGGTTTTTAACTTTTCGGACAACAAAACAGGTTTATTCACACGGTTCCTTACAGCATACATATTATGCAATAAGCGAGAAAACTTTACTTTCGAGCATTTTCTTTACAAACGCATTTAAAAAAGGTGTGAAGTTTGTACCTGGAACAGGTTTTTTTTAAGTGGCACCTGAACTAACCAATCTAATCAGAGCCCCGTATCCTAGTCATGTGACTCAGTACTAACCAATCAGAGCCCAGTATCCTAGTCATGTGACTCAGTACTAACCAATCAGAGCCCAGTATCCTAGTCATGTGACTCAGCACTAACCAATCAGAGCCCAGTATCCTAGTCATGTGACTCAGTACTAACCAATCAGAGCCCAGTACCTAGTCATGTGACTCAGTACTAACCAATCAGAGCCCAGTATCCTAGTCATGTGACTCAGTACTAACCAATCAGAGCCCAGTATCCTAGTCATGGTGACTCAGTAACTAACCAAACAGAGCCAGTATCTAGTCATGTGACTCAGAACTAACCATCAGAGCCATTACCTAGTCCATGTGACTCAGTACTAACCAATCAGAGCCCAGTATCCTAGTCATGTGACTCAGTACTAACCTCAAAAGCATCCCTGATCTGATTCTCATCATTCGACATCCAGTCGCCTATAAGACTCAAAAACTCGTTAAAGTCGATTGTTCCGGTCGTGTTCAGGTCGAACTTTGATATCACTTGGAGAACCTCCTCCGTGCTGCATTCGTACCCCAGCTCTTCTAAAATCAGCTTCAGTTCCGAGCAGTCTGCGTAAAATTAATCAATAACAAATACAAAACTATCAATTTATACTCTGCCGTCAGAGTAAAATACAAAATTAATCAATTCATAAAAATGTTCCTAATTTATAAGGATTTGCAACGAAATGAACATTTAACATTACACATATTATATATTATATAATTATATGAACATTACATACATGTGCCATATTTAAATCATCAGATTGAAAAACGAAAAATCTCAAATTTTGATTCTGACCTATGGTGTTGTTACCGTCTTTGTCGTACATGTTGAAAATGTCTCTGAACATGTTCACCTGAAATAATATGCGGGTAGTACTAGTTAAGTCTCCGATTTGTGGGTTTTACTTTTAGTTTTATCAATTTAATTAATTTTAGTGTGTTTTATTAATTTTAGTGTGTTTAGTTTCAACTTTCAGTGTGCGTTGTTAGTGTGATTAGTTGAAGTGTACGTGGTTTCTTTTGAAATTTAGTGTGATTAGGGTTGAATTTTAGTGTGTTTAGTTTTAGTTTGGTTTGGCTATAATGGTTAGTGTTAGTGATTTGTATTATATTGATAAAGTGAAGTTGCATTGTTATGAGCGGTAATTTTAGTTTCCTCAGATTTCAGCAAACCCAAGTCTCAGAACTAACCGCACGCACAGCACACACACAAAGATAAGATAGAGAAAATGCAAAATTAAAGATCTTCAGCTCACTCCTGACAATTTGAACCTTTAATATTTAATTTCAAGTTGTGTTGCAAAGGTAATTACTGTACAGTATTAGTAGAGTGCAGTAGACCCGACATGTAGACTTCCCACACCTCCCCCACTTTCCTATCAACAGCTATAATGTTAAATGCAGCGATGAGGTCGTTCACGTTAAAAACATACCATGGTATTTCATATTTTCAACTACTGCAAGTTGCAAGTATTTTTGGGGAGTTTTCAACTTCCGAGAAATTGGAGGCGGGAAATCGGTGACCAAGTGTGATTTGTAATGAATTTCGGGAAAAGTTAATCTCATATTTCAAAACAAAAGCAAAATTATAAATTCCGTTACATAACGATTGTACTGCCGTTTTCTCAGAAAAGGAAGTCAGTCCATACTTGCCATTTCGAGATATTGCGACTTTTGTGTTTTTGGTTTTTTCTCCGCTTCTTTTTTGCGTAAGATCGAAAGTAAACATGTTGAGTTATCAATAATTAGTCAAATTTTAATTTATCAGAAAAATTAAAGCGTTCAGCCTTCCATATACTTAAAAATAACCACTTTTATGCCAAATATAAATTGATCTAATTTTTCATACTGGATGGACTTACTTCCTTTTCTGAGAAAACTGGGACTTACTTCCTTTTCTGAGAAAAAATATCTGTTCAATATTTTTCTGAGAAGGAAGTAAGTCCAAGCTTTTTACTAAATTTTTGGGGTTGGGATCTATGTATTTTATATTATATTGTCAAATATAAACAATTAGGTAAATCTAAATTGCTCTATGTCATATAATAAATGTTTTTGAATAATAGTTTGCCCATACTTAGGCAAACTCGCCAATTTTGAAAGATTTCAGTGCATAAAATGAACTTATCGATATTTTGATGAAAATAAACTTGATCTAAAAGATTTACCTAAACTAAACATTCTCTGCGATTATAACAGCTCAATAACTGCTCATGTGTTCAAACTTCATGTTTTGTGACTAAAATCCGGCGTTTTTGAAAATTGACCACCAAATTTTTTTGAGGCCTAAATGAAAATTTTGATCACTAACGTAAGTTTGAAATGTAATTATACATCGATTCTGAAAATTTCAAGCGAAAATATCGATCGGCAGTAAAGTTATTATCTTTTTTGGGGAATTGCTTTCTAAAATTCCGTTTTTAGCATGTTTTGATAGGAAGTAAGTTCAGCTACTTCTTCCTATCACAGATAATTTATCTCAGAAAGGGAAGTTAGTCCACGGACTTACTTCCTTGTCTCAGAAAATTTTCAAGATTTTCTCAGAAAAGGAAGTAAGTCCGCGGACTTACGTCCTTCTCTCAGAAAATAATTGGCTAAAACCGAACATATTATATTGTTTCTCAACTGGGACTTACTTCGTTGAGAATTGCATGCAACAACGTTTCCATACATTAATATGTAGCTCATGTTGTAGAGAATTTTCTTATGAAAATTTTGATACCAATTTTGCCATATTTCGAAAAATTGAACTTACTTCCTTTTCTGAGAAATCGGCAGTGTAGGTGACCGACCAAGGAACACCTGTGCCAAGTGTCAGGTCTTGGGAGTGGCCAGTCTTTTCCATAAGATAAGGTTTCACTTTTTTGAGTTAAGTTAAAGTTTTACATGTAATTACAATTCGGGTAAACCTCAAACTTTGGCGCGCAATTCCTCAGCAACGCAACACAACAACAACAACAATGGCGAACCTAGCAAGCTAGGATTAGGAACGAGGGGCCGATCTACTTTTCTTTTGCGGTGCGGCCACGGTCCTTTCGGTACAGATTTCCCTGCAGTATAGTCGGGACGCAACCCCATGCATATACACTCGTGTTATTTTCGCAGCTCTAATGAAAGCCACTACCATTTACACCATGGTTTGGTGAGTGACGGCTGCCCTTCTGTAACGCAAGGTCAGATTTTTATGCAGTTTTTTCCTACTTGTTCATCTCCAGCATATTTATTTACATATTATGTTATAACTAGAAAAATTATTTTTACTCCTCCCCCTCTCCCTCTCCTCTGGTCTTAAGTGGTTCTGGTCTTTAATCTGCTAGTATTTTAGGTTTACCTCATCATCCCAGAACTCATCCTCTACGACCTCTAAGTCCTCTAAGTCCTCTAAGTCCTCTAAGTCCTCTAAGTCCTTGTGATGAGCATCGCCGAAACTCCCCTGACATTGCATTCCTCACAACATGCGAGCTGTCTACTGCTAATATTCTCACTCTATAACACGTGCTGACTGCTGTGGTCTAATAACCACCGGTCTTTAAAATAAGAAATGTAACAACACCACACGTCGAACAATAGCGAATGTTCCCTTTTGGTGTGAACATGGTGCCATGTCTCCGCTCTGACACCTGACCGACACGTGACTGGTACATTATAATCGCATTATGTACTTGAAATGGGGCAGGGTGCATGCTTCCTTGAAAACATGACGTGATATCTGTAAAGTGTAATATAATTTGTAATATATGCGAGCGTACCAAGTGTCATTTTAATTAGAAGTTTTAGTCAGTGATTTATTATTGAAGCTTGTAATTACAATATCTAATACTCCTATAAATACTTTAATTAATTGTTTGTCCCGTTATTCTTTTTCCTTCCTCTTTTCCTTGTCATCCCCTTTAGTTTTAAGATTCTTGCTATAAATGGCTACAGCTAACACTATTAATGCTAAGTACCAAACAACAAGTGGGAGGTGGATCGTTAGTACTACCATTAAATCGATTTAACACCGCAATTCCAGTCGCAAGCCTGGGACCACTACTAGCATAGTCACAACATCTACAAAGCTGCCATATAGCCTGACTGACAATTTTCTCGACTGACTGACAATGTTTCTTCTTTTTCCCCATTTAGAATACAAAGATTAGTACATTTTAGCTTATGATTAATATTATATTTTTACCTATAGTTTACCTAGATTTTTATAATGAACTGTTACCTATTCGGCATATCTAGTGTGACAACACGTTCTGGTAAGATAGACCGATATATTTTATTTTACTGGCCCCTTAAATGGTTTTGTGTGGAACGTGACAGTTATGTGAGTTTAATTTCCTGTAAATAAGTAGATTTATAAGGTTTTGGGATAGCTCTATGTTTATATTATACGTTACCATCGTTACTATCGACGTGATTGTGAGCGACTGCTAACCAGTAACCAGGCTTGGTTCGGGGTGATTTGAAAAAACGTTTGAAAATAATACGTTTGATAACATTGGGGGCTCCCCAACATTAACTTTGAAAAGAACACGTTTGAAAATATGAAATAACACGTTTAAAAATATTATGTTTTACAATTATAACGTGTTTGATGTACCTCCGGTAAGGATAGTTCAACATCTGCTTCTTCAAAGCTATTTACACTTGAGCTATCCATGAAGGGGAAGCTACTTTCACATAGCTTCAGCTTTGCTTTCAATGGTTCTTTCATTCTGGAGTCTAAAGTTTTTCCGGTCTTAGGTCTACTAGGGGAAGCTCTAATCAAAGACAATTCCAGTGGCTCTTCTCGAGCAGAAGACACAATTAGGGGGCCGGAGGTTGACGACCGATGTAGGGGGTATTTCCTCATTGACCTCGATGATTCAGGGTTTTCTAGGGATGCCACTCTGTCCATCTGCATCTTTCAGCCTCGGTCACTCGGTCAACAACTTGTCACATTTGTTGAGCTGATTTTACAGTCAAGTCAGGAAACAAAATCGTTACACTGTACACTAGAAAAAGAATTAAAGATGTTGCCAAACTGTTTGCCTCGTCCGGTTGATTCTTAGGGAATTAATCAACATCTTTCTACTTGTATATCAGAAAATTGTAAAATGGCGACTACTAAATGACAAAGTTATATGGGTACCGTGTGCTGTAGCAACGTCTTATGAGCCTAACAGTGCGCTAACTAATAACTCTAATCGTTTCTTAGGAGTGCTTTACTGTTTACATTACGTAGAAGAGTAGAAACGATTATATTTATTGTCGTAGCTGCTATCCAGTATCCTGTATCTTAATATTTAGTAATATTAATATCTTAATATTTAGTAGTTATGATTCCTCTGTCTATTAACTACTAACTTATTTAGTAGTTATAATTTCTCTGTCCTACAACCAAGCACACTGCTTAGAAGTCCGGCGTTATGTTTTATAATGATCCTGGACCTAAGTGGCAAGCTGCTCTATATCAACAAAAAATATATATAATTCCTCTACTGAATACAATAATTGCAATATTTCAAGTAATGGCGACCTATCCGAGCTTTTCATTTAGAATTAAAACAAATCCTTCATATTATGGAGCCATGGTGTGGACTGGCTGCACCTGGTTAAAGCACTTCCATCCATTTCCCTATAATGTGGCTTACATAAGCAATTGCTCTCAAAAATTTAAACTGTTGTAAGCGAACCTAAACGCATGTTTAAAACCACGTTTAGTACTAGTAGTGAATAATGAATATGGGGGTGAATACGCGCATTTGTTAACTGATAACTTGCAGCTCAAGGCTTGGTTGGTGACATAAGTCAGGCGTACCAGTTTGAGAATACCTAACCGGCGAATGCTACCACCCTCATATCATATCAGTACTGAGTAGGAATATGGTTCACTTAACAATTAACAACTGAATACTAGGGCTGTATAAACAATAAAGCACGATCCCGACAGCCCTTCAACAAAACGAAAGTACAAATGTCCAAATGAGTTAAATTCGAGCATTTTCTGTGCAATCATTGATCATAGTGTGCATATCTTTGCAATTGCGGTGCAATTTCGCCCGCCAGTTATGCAGCTGATAATCATTACGTTTAAGTTTTAACGTATCTAGATGGCGAATATGTCGTCAATTATAGTTGTGGTAAGAATAAGATGTATCTGCATCCTGCCTGCTTTATACACAGATAGAAGAAATATTGTCTTAACGTTATTTAACAAGCTTATCACGTGATCAGAATCCAGATGAGATTTGGAATATAAAAATGTGAAATTTATCAGTAGACACGTCTTCCGTGGGTTAAACCCTTGATAATGACGGAGCAAAATAAGCACGAATAATTATCAAGTACACGAACATTGTCTTGCTTGTACCTGATCACCATGATCAACCTCACCTAGTTACAGCTGATAATTTACCTTACATTGCCATGGTAACACTATCAACATACAAACCTTGGTTCTGTCTAATTTGATGGAGCTAATATAGCGCGACTCTGGAACATTACCTGGCTAATCTGCTAATCTGCGACACTGTTCCAACACGTGCCCAATGAAAACATGTAAAATCACGGCAAAACTATTCTCTTTTATTATTTTGCGTGACGGGGTACTCCACAAACATTAATGAGATTACGATGTGGTTGCTCTGTTAACAGATCCAACAAGCACAACTTTCGCGATCTTTTTTAAAGGTTGATATCCTGACAGTTTTAACGCTGACGATCAGTGGATTCGGGAAAATCTAGTGATCTTGAAAAGAATTGTTTTATCGGTCAATTATACCTTTCAGATTTCATTCTTTGGTATCCCAATGTTAAAATTTAGTAACATTATCCAACGCGGTCGTGTCTTGCGAATGGTCGATAATGTTATTCGTGAGTTAAAAGTATTAAAAGTTCGTGAGAACTTAATGAATAAAGAATAGATGTTTAGTTCGACAGGACTAAAAAATAAAATTTAAAGTTCGTTAGCAGTTAAAACTTAGGAATTAAAATAAGCTAGTTAGAGATAAATAATAAAATTTTAAGTTCGTTAGAACTAAATTATGAAATTTAATGTTCGTTAGAACATCAAGGACAAATTTAGAGTTCGTTAGAATTAAAGAAAAATTGACAAATGGTCGTACAAAAAATAAAGTCAGAATTCAGAATAGTGGTTGCATCCCCCTCATAAACATCAAACAGGTATTTGTGACACAAACTACTGAACATTTCACAGCCGGTTACAAACCATTATCAAGCCCAAAATCACCGGACAACACCTTAGCTCTCCTCCTTTAAATTATTTTCATTTATATTTTTATTGCCATATTTTTATTTTCACTCACTTGAAAATCAGAGATTTTGTTCTCATTGTTGGATCCTCCTCCTCTCATCCCTCCTTAAGATGAGTCGGAGCTTGCACGTGGTTTTCCGAGTACCTCACATCCTCTCACTAAATTTTAACAAGAGCACGCATATCCAGGTATCATGTTCAAACTAACGAAAATTGGTTTAAAACAACGAGCTACGGGTATCAGAAATGGCCACAGCTGAGATTTTCGAAAGAGCTGTGTATCATTGTATTTAAAGCTGAGGTGACGACGCGTTCAACACAGCTTTTTTAAAAGTCCGCCTCATTTTCCATCCCGAACTGTTGACAGTGTCTTTGATGAGATTCCTTTATATTTCAGAATTGTACGCAGCTGTGCGGAAAAAAGAGTGCTCAGGAATTCTCTTTTCCGTATTGTGATTTCCTCACAGATTTGAAAACTTCAAACTGCGCTTAATATTCAGTATTTCTGTACAGGAGGCTTAACAAGTGGACCTGATACTGATAGAATCTTTTAAAACGGGTCTAAAATATGCGTCCAAGAGTATCTAAAGTATAGCGGTGGTGACCGAAACCCATGTCAGTGCCTCATGTTATAACTATATAAGCCTCTCTGCCTCCACTTCAGCATCTTAAAGTCTAACCTTATGATTCCAAGTACACACATTTCAGACTTTCAGTCAATATGTATAAAATTAAATTAGTGTACTATACTGTTTACTTTTAGTACACGGTGCCATGTATTATAGCTTGGTACACGGTGGTACTGGCCAGTACACAGTTGACAGTGCCACGCATTCTGATACCTTGATATGATGTTGTTATCTAACTGAACAGCGCGAGACTGGGGAACATAACGCCGGGGCCCGGGGTGTAAGCCTTAAAACCCTTGTAGTGCATACTTCCTAGTAGCAATGACGTCATACTTGAAAGTGCATAAGTGTGATTATTTTTACCAATTTAGCTACATTTTCCCTGAATCACGTTCCAATATAACAGGATACTATTCAGTTGACGTGGAATTAAGGCAGGAGCGTCCGTGAATTTAACTGCAGTTTGAATATATTTTTCATTTCAGTGAATATATCGTGTTTCTAAAAACTAATCCATGTCATTAGAACCAGTCACAAAATCATTAACTATTAATAAACCAGACCAAGTAAGGATTGACCGATAATTGAACCCAATTTGGTGAACGCACGTACGGTATATGCTTGTTAGCTCAGACCTCGTGCTCAAAATTCACTTCAGACCTTGTCAGCTATAAGTACGCTTATCGTCTGAATTTTGCCTGGCAAATTTTGGAATTTGGCCGCCAATTTTTAAATCAAAAATCGGCTTCCTTAGTATCCACATTTAAACAGATATAAAGCTATAACTTACAGAGAATATGTAGTTTAGGCTTACCTTTCATATAAAGTAAGTTTCATTCAAAAATATTGATAGTTGGCTAATTTATGGGACGAAATCTACCAAATTTGGTGCGTATGCCCAAATATGGGCATATGATTTTTGGCTCATAACTCAGTCATTTTTTGTCCAATCTTAATGAAATTTCATATACGAGTTCAGGAGACCACTAGCTACAAGTAAAGCACCTTAAACCTGGGTTTTGGGCATGTTCAGGGTATTTGGCTAAATTGGGCCAAAAAATACCCATTGGCCCCCCCCCCCCCCTCTTAACACGTTAAACACAACATAATTACTACAAAACCGATCAAAATAGCGCTCGCAAATCTTTGCACGTGCACGTGCGTGTAACAATCCTCGTTACCATGGTTACTATGCAACCTTTTGCTTTTTACGTAATTTGACGTGGGTGGTTGCACAGACATACAGACATACAAAGATAATCTTTTGAATTATAAGTAAGATACCGGCCAATTATATTTTACAATTACCTATTATTATTAACAATGAAATATTGTTTATGTTAAACTTAGTACCTACAAACTGTAAGCTAAATCTGCAAAGAAAGGTGGTGGTGATTGGTGAGTTACCTGCATGTCAGTAAGGTTGTGCATTATGTCGCTATCATAGCTAGATTTAGCCGGTTTCGGCAGTTTCTTAGCGTCCTCTTCATTACTGATAAGCGTGTACATGAGCGCCATCTCTTGTCTCTCTTTTTTCTTATTCATATCGTCTGTTGTCTAATAGCATCCCTTTAAAGGAACTCGTAGGTCCTTTGTTAGCATCTGCTTTATGAATATCGGGATGATGTTAGGGGGGTGGAACCGATAAGTGCATGCAAGTAGTAATTGATTACATACAGTATGAGTACTATACTCAAAAGAACAGAAGGTTAGTTTCAGGAATTTTCTTTGATTCTCAATTAAATCAAAAATCGAAACATCAAACTTGATTCAAAACGATAGTATAAACGGATTGCTGTCCTTTTAAAAAGTTGCAACTATGAGCATAAGAACAGTTAGTGAGCTAGCTGCCGAGGAAGTTCGTAATTGGAATAGGATAAGATGAATAATATCTCCTCAGTCACTAAACAAATGTTATATTGTGTCATAGTCTGGACGGATACGATAATTTATATGTCCCATTCGAAGTCTAAAGTTACAAAAAGAACAGTCGTTCAAAGAACTTCACACCTTCTTAGACCAATGGTCTCGAGATTTAAAATGAATTATGGAACACTTGGTACGGCAGTTTGAAACTTAAAGAACATGAAATCACTATTTATAATTAGTATGGAAGCTAAGGATTTATAGCACAATGCGGCGTGCTTTCTAAATCCGAAATGGACACCAAGGTTTACAGATTTTTAAAAATATTGAATTCTTTTTGTTGGCCGTGGTGGCGGTTCTAATGACCCATTTACAAAAAAGATAAAACAACATTATAATAATATAACACGTTTTAAAACCTACTAAAACCCGGTAAAAACTTAAGAACTCTAAAGCTCGGACCTCATAATTCTGCCTAAAGATTCACTGAATCATTCAGTGCATGTATCTAGCTTAAATATGACTTTCGAATAATAACATTTCCTGATTTCCAGTATAACAAAAGACCTAAGAAATAGTATGCCAATTACATCGTAATTTCTAACATAGAAGACCGCGCTGATCCTCGATCCATAACTAATTGTTTTCGATTATTGATAAATTGAGGTCCTCACTCCTCTTCAACAACATTACCAGAGCTACACGTATTAATTTTCAAAGATAAACATAGTTAAAGGCCACCGTTGAGAAATCATTGCAGTCATGGAACGAAATACACTATGATGTCAACTCAGTCTATTTTGATGTCTGGACATTTACTGTCAGGATCTCCTTATTTTTGGAGATTCTCGTGTCAGTTTCTGTACTACGAGGACTCTGGAAACAAAATACATTCCCGTTATCTTGCTACCTTTTATCAAATATAACCAGCCAAATATTATACCAGAGACAAGAGAAAATAAGAGAAATTTAAGAACCACAAGATGATAATGTTAACAGCACCTACCTAGCTGCTAGACGTAGAAGCAAAAGAGTCATCTGCTTGGAATGCTAAGTATTTAAGTGCAGTAACATACTGTGACCTGTTGTGGGCATCCTACCATACCTTTCTGCCCTAATTGTAACAAAATCTCAGAGCCTTCGAAAATTAATTTGTCCAATTAAGTTTATGTTGTTAAAGGAGATCTCTTAATTTGTCATTGTCCGCTGTAGCTTCAAAATCTTCATTAAAGGGAGCCTAATTTCAATTAACAATGACGAAATGAGGTAAATCTAAATAAGCACGCACATATAAGCATACGGTATACAAAATGTGCCAGCGTACTGCGGCTGCTAGGCTAACATTAGGCTACTTCATACACAGTGTTAGCTGAAGTCATAATCTGGGATAACATTTCCTCGTGAGATAATACATACCTCACGTACGTACGCACTGAGTCAAAACTTTGCTTTTATCCGCAATCCGGGGTCGTTGATCCGATAGACTGCTTGGGCCGTGAAAACATTACGCACAATTAAGAAAAATCACGTACATTCACAAGAAACAATAATATTTCTCCCCGGAAAATATACACAAGTCGCAACCGCAGACCTAGGAATATTTTCTACCAGCTCTACAGTATATAATACGACACAACCAGTGGTTATTTTAACGGTTTCCGTAATATAAACTCTATGACCCTCCATTACTAAATAGATAAAATCACGTACTAATAAGTAACGTCTCTCTCTCTCTGAGAAAAAAAATATCTCTCTCTGATTTTTCTTAATTGTGCGTAATGTTTTCACGGCCCAAGCAGTCTATCGGATCAACGACCCCGGATTGCGGATAAAAGCAAAGTTTTGACTCTCTCTCTCTCTCTCTCCAGTGTGGCACGTGGGTGCATGACTGCATGCCAGTCAGCTGTAAACCTACCACAATATGCTAATTTGTGAGTTCTGGCTATTATACTAGACACTGGGTTTGTCTGTTGTGAGTATTGACTTCCGGTATATTTATTAAGGTTAACTAATAACTATGGGTTGGTAAGTATATGCTTTTTTGCAATCTTATCTTACTTTAACTTAATCGTGTTCTATTTGACCGAGTTTTGATCGGACGGGTTGTAAAAATAAAATATAAACAATCGCAATTAAAATATCAGGAACTGAAAATAAGCTACAGTGTTCACATGATTCAAGATTGAAGATACTAAGTATTTGTTCATATCATCTACTTAGCGTGTGAAGTAAAGTAGGATGGAACCTTCTAAATCAGAGCAGAAGTGAGGTTTCCCAAAGGCTAGTGGTCGAAACGTAGGTCAATCACAATGGAATCTATTATAGTTCTACATTTGATTTTAAATGAATTACGAAAAAATCACAGATAGACGTCGATCACAGTGGCCTCTCAAATCACAAACGAGAGAAAAAATACTAACGTATCCGGGAATTTGAGAACTCAAAATTTGAGTCCATCTCATTGTCATAATTAACCTGTACTGGGGATCCCAGGCTATAATGTTCATATAATATAGATTGGGCAGAATGACAGGCTGAGCGCCGCCGAGTAATGGCCTAATCGCTGCTGGATATGACATTTTTGAGGATTACGGCAGCTTGTAAGTTGTAGTTGTACGCTGTTTTAACGTTTCACTTCGATACTGAATATTACAAATTTCCAGGGAAGTTACTGGGCGGCGCTCAGCCTGTCACTCTGCCGAATCTCTATTCTATATGTTTATGAACATTATAGCCTGGGATTCCCAGGTAACAGGGAAGGTGCTACCTTCTCAGGATTTTAAAGTTTGATTTTGATATTACATACTTGAATAACAAATTTTAAAACGGTTTTAAAATCCCAAATCAGTTAAAACCGACCATCGTTAATCACAGAATATGTTAACCATGTAGCATTAGTCTCCACAAATTGTAAAAGTATTTGGTGTTTTACTTCAACTCCAGCGATCGAATGGAACGACAATATAATAATAAAACATATCAATGAGATGGGTGTTGCAGGTAACGGATTTCATTTCATATGACTGTGAGCTATTATAATAGGACTAGGAGCATATGACTATGCGAGAAACAATTGCAAAATGTGCAGAGATGTCTTAGTTTTGAAGATCCTTTCAAATGATCATCACAATTAGTGACTTTAATTAATTAAGATTATTATAAGTTAGTTGTCATACGTACGTCATGCGACGTACGATTTTCCATACGTCATGACGTATGACAAAGTTATAAGTTATAAATGTATACGACGACGATACTTGAGACTAACAGTGTGCAAGTGTTCTTATGTTTCTCTACAAGCCACTCCCTGTCAAATGTCTAGTGAACCAATGAATAGAAAGCAACAATAGAAAGTCGAAGAGAACACGTATATAAAATATCGGATGTCATTCATAATTGAAATCGGAAAGTAACGATGAAACGAATTGTCATTGTGGAAAAACCCACATACCACATAGTCATACGTGAAGTTGAACAGTAACGGAAAAGCAAATATAAACAAGCGAGAACAATTTGATTTGGGTCATCAGCTCCAAGCTCATATTCTAATTCACTGTTAGTGTTTATTCACCACCTTTGTAATTCAATTGCACTCAATCATGTTGGCAATTTATTTGATTATCTTGATTTCATCGAATAAAGATAACCTTTTGTAGGCAGATCGTTATTCTTTGACCTCGAAATTCTTGAACCCTGCCGGCAGCCCCCGCCGTTTCCGTTTCACTTTGGAGATTGATCACACTTATGCGAACACAAAAAGAAGAATTATCAAAACTTACATTTTGATTAAGAATCTTTACCTCCTCGGATGACAAATCGTATTCCTTCTTCGCCAGTCTCTTCTTTCCTGCATAGCCGTCTAGATCAAGTGATAAGCAAGAGGCGAAACTAACGTTTTCTGAGTCACTGTCTGATCCGTTGCTGTTCTCGAACCACTGCAGTAATAGACGTGTAACGATCAGTCTATAGTATAGATGAGTTGTTGTATTAGTACTATTTAGTTGACATAGTTTATATTCTTATTTTATTTTACCCTTTTCAGTTTTTAGATGATTTATGTTATTTGCATGCTCATGTTATAATAGAGTTTGAAGCATTGTTGCGTTTTGGGGCTTTGTAATACTATGACGGCATTGCTTTGAATTTGAATTTCTGATGATATTGATTTTCACTTTCAGTGCTATGTAACCCATGGCAGTAACGTTGTAAAGGACTTTGAGGGGGTCTGTAGTCCCCCCGCATAGTATGTTTGTGTTTCACTGATTTGTAAACTGAAGACGTAAATAACTATAATGTTAGTTTGTAGTGCGAATAATAGTTAATCACTGGTTTACTCGACATTGCACATGGCCCTTTCATAAGTCATAAGTGCATAATTAGTTTTTGGCGAAATATAATTTTTGGCGAATAATCAAAAATGTAAGTTATTTTAAAGTTTTCATAAAATAATATTACATTTTGTCTTCTCTGAAAAACGAGTCCAACGATCAGAAGAGTCGACGTTTTTATTTGTTTGATGTACACTGACATAGCAACACACATAGCAACACACTTAGCAACTGACATAGCAACATAACCTGTAGAACTAGAGAACGTAGACAAAGCTTCCATTAACTTATTGTTAACTTAATTAAGATGTATCAATTTTGGTTCTAACTAATATAATGACTAATATCAGTAGTACAGGAGTAGACAACCTTTAGGCTTAGCACGTGCATTTATCATTTAATTACTTCCATTA